AGATTTTCTTGTGTTAAGAAAATATATCTTGCCCTAAGAATTTTTCCTCTTGGCTCAAGAAACTCATTTTCTTCCAATTGGTGTTTTTGGTTCAAGATTTTTGCTCTTGAGTCAAGTTAAAATTTCTATCAGTGCACACACACACACACACACCTTGATAGAAATCTTCGTAGGAGTATTAAGAGCTACTTCTTAGGACCTTAAAAATGTGGAGATCAGATTAGAACTTGATTTTCGAAAATTGGCTTGGAACCAATGACTTCCCGATTTTTTTTTTTTAAATCATTTTTTTGTAAAGGGGGAACTTAAAAATTTAGAAAAAAAAATTTTAGATGTGAAAAATAAATTATTATGATGCACAATGACGATAAAAATTACTTCACAGTAAAAAATTTTTCGTCAATTTGTAAAGTGTAAAAATTTTTGTGTAGCAAATTACACTCTAGTGTGTATAATTTTACATTCTCATGTGTTGATTTAACATACTAGAATGTAGAATTGACATTAGTTTGTGTAAAAACAGTCAGTAACACAAATATTTGTGTTAAATTTGACGAAATTTTTTTTACTGCATGTAAAAAAAATTTTTTTTCCTCTGAAATTGTAGGAAATGACGTTAAAATATATTTTAGAAAGCTAAAAAAGCTTTTTGAAAAAAAAAAAATTTTTTTACGAAATTTTGGGGGTACCCCATTTTGCCCCCCCCCCTCCCCTATATTAAAAAATTAAATATATTAACAAATTTTTCTATCGGCAAATTCATTAATTTTTTTCTAATATATATTTTACCATAAAAAATTTATTTGTAATCAATAAAAATGGCTTTAAATTCGACAGTTATATTATTATTTTTTTTTTTTTCATTGAAATCAAAGTGCTCGAAGGCAAGTAATTATTATCAATAGTAATAATAATATAAAATTTAATCTGTGATTCGAAGATAATATAACGCAACTATTTTAAATGAAAAAAACATACATTTTATTTATTTTTTATTGGCAAAGTTTAAAAAAAAAAAATTATTGAATATCTATTGAATTATTTATCTGTCAATAAATCTTGTGGTGAAAATAAAATAATTGGATGTAAATCGAATTTATTCGACTAAACAGAGAGCAACTCGATAAGATCTTTAGCAGCAAGTGATACGGTTGCGTGCTCAGGTGCTAATAGAGCTACCGGATGTCTGAGAGTTTAATTCAGCTACTTGGATATTTACCAGCACGTGAAGGTATACTGTTGAAAAAATATTTAACGAGTAAAGAAAATGGATCAAGATTTTGTATCTGCAAAATGAAGGTTAATTTGAAACAAAAAAAATTTGCTTTTCAAGAATTTGTTGGACTAAAAAAGTCAAGAAAATTTTTTTAATTAGTAGGATTAAAAAAGGTGAATTGAGAAAATAACTTTTGATTAGATAATAATTATTCTCAAAGAAAATTTTTATTACAAAGTAGAGGACTTATAAATTCAATAAATAATTACCTGAGCTAAAGAAGTAAATATTTAACTCAATAATATTAATGTTATTGGCTTAAGAATATTTTTTTTTGTTCAAAATTAAAAAAAAAAAATAGTTGCCGAAATGAGGTGAAAAAAATTTTGGATCGCAAAATATTCTCTGATACTTTTCATCATAAATCGTACAATAATTTAAATTTAACCCGAGACCGAATTTGAACCCTCATCGATAATTGCTCTTAAGAAAGAGTGATACCACTTCGCCAAGACACCATTCAATGTGTGATTTTGATTAGGATTTTTTGGCGGTGCTGCTGTCTGATTGTCTAAAGCCAAGACCATCATCTTCGAGAGTTTAATTATTTTATTTTGGAGTAAGTTAAACACATCTCTTGTTTCGATAGATTTTATTTTGTTATTGCGAAATATTTTATGTTTAAAAGAAAAAATAAATAAATGTTTCCTGAAAAATAATTTAACTTAATTGAATTATTTGAAACTTTTTAATAAAAATGTTCATGATCAGAAAACAATTTTCTTGAATTATGACATTCTTCACTTTCTTAAAAATTTTCTTGTGCCAAGATATCTTTTCTTTCTGTCGACATTCCCTCGGTAGACTTTGTATGAT